AACGTCTGAAATGCCTCATACTCCTGAAATGCCTCAAACGTCTGAAATGCCTCAAACACCTGAAATACCTCAAATGTCTGAAATGCCACAAACGTCTGAAATGCCTCATACTCCTGAAATGCCTCAAACGTCTGAAATGCCACAAACTTCTGAAATGCCTTATATTCCTGAAATACCTCAAACATCTGAAATGCCTCGAACTCCTGAAATGCCTCGAATGTCTGAAATGCCTCAAACATCTGAAATGCCTCATACTCCTGAAATGCCTCAAACGTCTGAAATGCCACAAACCTCTGAGATGCCTCACACTCCTGAAATGCCTCATACACCTGAAATGCCTCAAACGTCTGAAATGCCACAAACTTCTGAAATGCCACAAACACCTGAAATGCCACAAACGTCTGAAATGCCTCAAACATCTGAAATGCCTTATATTCCTGAAATGCCTCAAACGTCTGAAATACCTCTTACTCCTGAAATGCCTCCTCATACTCCTGAAATGCCTCGAACGTCTGAAATGCCTCATACTCCTGAAATGCCTCGAACGTCTGAAATGCCTCATATGTCTGAAATGCCTCAAACATCTGAAATGCCTCATACTCCTGAAAAGGTAAACACCACATGTGATGATGCTGCAGCTATTGTAGGCTACATTATGCAGAAAAGTATTAAATAAATCACATTGTTTAAGTTTACAAAACATACTGGAACATGCTGGGCAATCAAATAGTTTTTTGGAAAAAGTTAAAACTAAAACTAATATACATAAAAAAACGTATATTTGAAGTAAAATAATCTTTAACTGAAAAATTTAACCTTTTATTTAATCATTCTCATTTTCATTTAGTTTAACTTGATGTATCCAAATTACTAAAACAGGTGAAATAAATTAAAAACGATATAGACATTTTACAAAAATAAGTAAAAAAAAAAAAAAAAAAAAAAAAAAAAAAAAAACTACATTTCAAATATTTTAACTAAAATTAAAACAAACTAAATTAAAACTGAGTTCAAACTGCATCTCATTGCATGTTAATGTTTAATGTCTTTGTTTGGTCTCCTAGATAAGTACTGCTGCACGCATTATGTCGATAGAGTTAGACTCTCTATAAGGAACAGAGTGACTAGCTACAGCATACAAAAGCCGGATGGACATTGCAACATCCCTGCTGTTCTGTAAGCAAAACCTGTCAGTGAATATCAGAGGCGTTTATTTGTGATTCTTTCAAACATCATAGTCCATGATGTTTAATGCAACTGTCTCTCTGCAGCTTCAGAGTGGATCGTGACCGTAAGTTTTGTGCAAACCCCCAAAAATATTGGGTCCGAATTCTAATAGAGAGGGTGGATGCAATGCTCCAGGGTTTAATTAAAGGTAGGAAGTTGCACAATAGTGCAGATTCAAATCTTTTGGCAAGAAACTCATAATGATATTGAAAGAGTGTTTGAGATTGAAATATATCACAGTAATGTCGGTGCATGAAAGATATATTTTTGGAGAAAAATGTTTGGAGATTTTTTTTAAACTACAAAAACATATCTGAACCATATAAACACAATGTATTGATTACAATATAAAAAATTAAAATATTTAATATGAAGGTGAAGTTTAAAAATAAACCATTAAAGTGTTTAAATTAATATAAATGATCAAATTTCATACTTCATGCTTTTTTGGAGAGCACTTATAAAATAAAAAAATATTAATGATAAAAAAATGGACAATGTTCTCTAATGATGTTTTAAAAAGTCTTGTCATTGTAAGTAGGTGTATAGCATGTGGATTTGGGTAAATGCATATCAGTACATTTAGTGTTTTGTTGTGTTTGTGATGTGTCTCTTAGATAAGCCCTGCTGTCTGAGGTATGTCAAACGAGTTAGTCATTCCATTAGTAACAGAGTGACCAGTTACAGAAGACAAGGCCTGAATGGAGGCTGCAGAATCCAAGCTCTTGTGTAAGTAACATCTGTCTGTCTGTAGATTTAGAACTATTAAAATGGTTTGAAACTTGTACATACAGGCATGTATGAATCAAATCTAACTGGTACTGGAGAAATTTAAAGTAATGCTTCCCAGAATTACTTTTATTATTTTTTATCCATTGCATGTTTATAGGACAACCTACACACAAAAAAAAAAAAAAAATATATATATATATATATATATATATTATTCAGATTGTTAGACTGATAATATAATTTTTAATGAAAATGTATATATGAAACTAGAATTTTAAATTAAAATTTATATTTCTTATACATTTTAATGATATTCATATATATTTTCCATATGGGAAGTGTTGCCATAAAATGTATCTCTGTGAAATTGACGTCCCTGGAGAGGAATGGAGACACAGGACAGATAATGATGCAATGAAATGCCTTAAACTGTAGTGAATATAAGAAGCTCTATACATTTTTCAGACATTACAGTTAATGATTTTTAATGCAACTGTCTCTCGGCAGATTCAAATTGGACAATGGCCAAGAGTTTTGTGCTGAGTTATCTGAAATTTGGGCGATTGAACTCATGATGTGGGTGGCCAGACCGCGAGATTCAAAGTGGTCTTCCAGGCCTCAAATACCTCGAATGCCTGAATATCCTCGAATACCCGAATATCCTCGAATGCCCGAATATCCTCGAATGCCCAAAATGCCTCGGATGCCAAAAATGCATCGGATGCCAAAAATGCCTCAGATGCCTTTTTGAATGCCTACAATGCTTAGAATGCCTGAATTGCTTTGGATGCTCCGAAACGACTCGAATGCCTATAAAGTCTAAAATGCCTTGGAACACCTGAAATGCCTCAAACATCTGAAACTCCTCAAAAACCTGAAATGGTTTGGACACCTGAAATGCCTTGAATGTCTTCATGCCTCAAATGCCTTCCATGTCTCCAATGCACCAAATTCCTTCAATGCATAAAATGTCTTCCATACCTTCCATGCCTCAAATGCCTTCCATGCCTTGAATGCTTGAATAGACATAATGTTGCCACTTTCTTAATTAACTGAATTAAATGCATAAAAAAACAAATACAAATATTTTAACTTTATTTCTAATTGTACTGTGGTAAATTGAAATCTGTTTAAATAATGTTTGCATAAAGGTCAACATCAAGTTTTGTCATTTATGCACAATCATGACAGTGACAGTGTATTATTATTATAATTTTTAAATTATTGCTATTGGCAGTAAATAGTCCTGCAATGTAAATGTATTTTATTTTATTTATTGGTAAAAGTTCAAATATTCTACACAGTTGCTCAATTTAATATGAATATACAAGTAAACAGCGCAAAGTGGAACTGGGACATTCTACAAAATAGGTGCCATATACTGTCAATGTATGAAGAGTTTATTTGCAAAAATCAGATAACTCAGTTTTTATTCATTTTCATAAATCATGTTTTTTATTGTGTTATCATTTTTTTTATTGTTTTATTGTGTTATCTGTATTTTTTAATGTATTATTATTTTATCAAAACAACCCAACTGCAGTTTGATTGATATTAGTTTTTTTTACAATCATTTTTGCACGAATAACAGACCTTTCGTGTCATTTTTCAAAACTCGTCTAGACACATAATTCACAACATTTTTCAAAACACTTAACACTTTTTCCAAATGCTTGGATACAATACACATGCACCAAAGATCTTTTGTTCATTTAACTAAAATCACTGGTTCAAAATGACACAACTTAACATCAAAGTATTACTATTTCAAAATGCAACTCACACATTTAATCTGAACTGAGTGTCTATTCATTTCATTACAATGATCTAACTATCAGTTGATACAACTGCTCAAAATGCTACATAACTGTTGAAGCATAGTTTTTATGGAAAATGATGAACAATATTAAATGTTTAGATTATGAAAGTGAAGCAACTGAGAACTGAGTATGTTCAGGTATAATCAGTTTCAAGATGCCTCTTGTTGGGAGAAAAAAAAATCCCCCAAAAATTCTATATCATTGTTATCAGTATTTGTTTTTCCTACATTAAATGTCTTTTTAGAGGGTGATAGAGCTGTAAGCTTATGAAAACCATTCATATTTTTGGATGAGGCAGGCTTTAACCTGGCCATGACATGGAGGAGATGGATAAGTGCTAGTCGTTGGCACCAGTCAGCGGTGAGTAATCCCAAACCAATGGCGCTGTCTCAAACTATACCTCTTCCGGTTTGTCTGATTTGTCATTGTGTTTTCTGACTTGTTATAATGTTTTTTGATTTGTTGTTGTGTTTTCTGAATTGTTATTTTGTTTTTTAGACTTGCATTTGCGTTTGTAATTTGTTATTTTGTTTTCAGAATTGTGATCTGCTTTGCACTTCACGGCCACCGTACATTTGTGACCCTGGACCACAAAACCAGTCATTAGTACCACGGGTATATTTGTAGCAATAGCCAAAAATACGTTTTGTTTTAATTGCAGACATATTGTGATTTCTGTTTTATTGCAATTAATCATGCAGCCCTAGAATACAGTATAAACTGTACATACAGTAGACATGAACTGTGGCTCCATTTACTGTAGTTAAGTAAATAATGTTTAATAAATAAATGTTGATTTTTTTTTCTTTTGTTTACTGTTTAAACACAAAATATGGAGGTTGAACTCTGCGGCGATCAGCACAGTGTCACTCACCATGTGTTTGACAGCAGACAGTATCTGAGAGAAAACCAGTTTACTCTCCAGATCAGACAGGCGTCCTCTGATGGCGATCCTGGAGAGCAGCTCTCATCACCAGATGAAGCCTGCGAAACGTCTGCACCACCTCATACAGGCACACGATGTCGGGGTGGGAGAGTCTCTCCATGCAGAGTATTTCAGACGAGAACAACCTCTGCGAGCGCTTGTCCAAACGCAGCTTATCCAGGATTTTAACAGCTAACCCTTTCTGAGAGAGAGGAGTGAAGGAGAAAAAGGGCAGAAAATGCACTGCCAGTGGGACATGGGTCAGTTCTAGTAAGACAAAAGTTCATTTGCGTGGTCAGGCATGTTTCATACATTCTTGATTTAAAGACTGTAAGAATGTTATCTGGAGTAAACCAGGGTTATTATAGTTACCTAAATTTGAAGCTAAAATTAAAACCATTAAACAATTTTTTAAATTTATTAATTAATAATAAAAAATAAAAATAAAAATAAATAAATATATATATACAGTGGGTACGGAAAGTATTCAGACCCTGTGACTTGACTGAACTCAGGAAGAACAACTGTAACTAGACTTGACTCATGACTATCAGTTGTGACTTGACTAGACTCATGCATATCAGCTGTGACTAAACTTGACTCAGGATAATGAACTGGAACCTGACCGGACTCATGACGATCAGCTGTGACTTGACGGCGCTCAAGATGGGCAGCTGTGACATGACGGGGTGCCGTGGTGTCCGCCATTTTGCAATCAGGCTCCACTGTCGCCGCCATTTTGTAAGCGTGCTCTGGTAGAGCCGCCATTTCAGTCACAGACACGGTGTCGCGTTCCTCCTCCGCGTCACCCACAGTAAACAAAGAGCCAACAGACAACAAAGCATAATCCATCAGGTCCCTTAAACTACAGTTAAATTCCTCTCCAGGTAACCAAGACTTCGTGGGTTCATTGAGTCCAAAACGGAACAAGTCTTTAAACAAAATTTCATCATACAGTGGAACCTGATAAGATAGTACACAGAACCGGTGAACATACTCCTCAATAGAAAGGCCTCCTTGCCGAAGATGTAGTAGCTGGGTGACTGGGTCCATACCTGGCCAGAGTCCACTGGAAAAGCCGCTGGATACTTGTTCGGCTGAGTATTCTGTAACAATAATAAACTTTTAATGCATTCATCATAGAAGAGGTGTATTGCATGAAATAGATCATTATTATTGTAATGAATAGATGTGGGCACAAAAATGAGCACAGACACAAATGCACTTCTGAAAAAAAAATGATTAAAAAATGAAATGATTTGACCACCCTTTCACCTTCTACTCTCTTTTGTTTCTTACCAGGTAACATTCATATGATTCATATGACAGGGCAGGTTATAAAAGACATTAAGATGGGTCTCCAGGGGGGTTTATAGAAATATAAAATTAAGTTATATATTTAGAAAATTAATTATAATCTTATGGATTAACCCAGATTTGACTCCCCCCAGATTTATCTATGACGTGATGAACACATGTTCAATTACCATCCATAACGCAAGAAAATCTGAAGGCAGTTTTAGGTATTTTGCGTCAAATGCAGTAACACTCAAGACACTTTAAATGACTTTTAAATGAACAAAGAAAGTGTCTCTCACCTTTGGTCAGGTCGTGAATGCCGAGTTTGACCTGAGAGAAGTTTCCTCTGCCTATTTCCCCTCGAAGCTCATAAAAGCTGATCCGTTTGCCGACATTGACAAGCCTCTCCTTGTGTCCGAGCTCATAGACGGCTCTTTCGAAGGGTGTCTGTCTGCTTTACACTGATCTCTGGACTCACGACTGCAGGTTTTCTGTTCAGTGCTTGACCACTCGTCTTCTCCTCTGTGGTTTTATTGACCTCCATCCAGGCCAGCTGATGCACGAGCTCTTTGTGCTGAGATGGCATTGTTTGCTGGGCCACCTTCCCTGTACGAAGAAAGAGATCTTGTTAATATCTCAATTGTTTTTTAGAGAAAGCAATGTGATCAAATCGAGACATTTGCTGTACAAGTCTCCTCCTCCTTCAGATGTTTCTCCTAACAAAAAAAACCCTCTAATCTCACATGTGTCACCTTTAGAGTTTCAGAAGAGAACTTAACGTCTCAAACTATGCTAAGATTTCCCAAGATATCAGTCAGACCCTTAGACATTTGAAAAAAATTTTTTTCTCAATTATGTTTCATTAGGTATTAAATTTGTCTGTCATAAAATTCCTTTGAGAAATATAAACAGTCCGAAATGAGTCAATAGCTTTCATATGGTTCTTGGGAGAACTATATAAGAAACGTTTCAGTTCATATTGAGATCTGAGCACAGTTTTTTTTAAATCTCTTCTGAGTTTACTGGGGTCTTTTTCTCAAGAGAAACACTCGAGATGAAGCAAAAGTTCCCATTTGATCTCATAATCGCTGTCTAGGTGAAAAAAATCCAGATGTTAGTTAAGGGTTAGTTCACACAAAAATGAAAATTCTGTCATTAATTACTCACCCTCGCGTTGTTCCAAATCCGTAAGACCTTTGTTCATCTTCGGAACACAATTTAAGATATTTTTGATTGACCCTCCCATAGACAGCAAGGTAACTACCACGTTCAAGGTTCAGAAAAGTAGCAAGACAAAGTAGTCCGTGTGACATCAGTGGTTCAGCTGTAAAGTTATGAAGCTACGAGACGCAGACGCAAGTGACGCAGTAGAGACGAAAATTAATTGTGTTCCGAAGATGAACGAAGGCCTTAGAGGTTTGGAACAACACGAGTAACTAATGACAGAATTTTCATTTTTGGGTGAATTAACCCTTTAAATAGATCTAATGTGAGATTTTCTTGCCTGCGGGGAGATCTCAATATGAACTCAAATATCTGATTAAATAGTGCAAATAATCTGACATGTTATTCACATTTAGATCTAAACTGTGTTTTTCTGCTTTTTCAGGTATTTTTTCTGCTAAGGAATCTTGAGAGGACATCTAAGAACTCCACAAAGATTCCTGAGCTATAAAATAGCAATGCTTGAGCAATATTTTTTTACATTTGTTTTTACACGGTCCTATGATATCTGGAGACAGACCTGAGATGGAGGGGACTCTAGAAAAGGTCTATAATTATGTTCACATTTATTGTGTATTGTCTAGAAATCCAGGAGCCAATGTGGAGAACTCAAAATGAACTCAAACATTTCGCATCAAATGCTTTCCAGTCCAAGTAATTTGAGATATAGATCTCAATATGAACTCAAATATCTGATTAAATAGTGCAAATAATCTGACATGTTATTCACATTTAGATCTAAACTGTGTTTTTCTGCTTTTTCAGGTATTTTTTCTGCTAAGGAATCTTGAGAGGACATCTAAGAACTCCACAAAGATTCCTGAGCTATAAAATAGCAATGCTTGAGCAATATTTTTTTACATTTGTTTTCTTTGTCCAAAATCTCAAATAAGACCACTCAGGATATAAAATTGTTTTTTGAAACTAACAGTCACTTTGGAGAACTACATAAGAAACGTTTGAGTTCATATTGAGATATTTTTGAGAATTCTTCTGAATCTCGTAAGGAGATTACTGGGGGTTTTCTCAAGAGAAACACAACAGATAAGGGTCAAAACACACAAGACACACATGATGAGACGGTCCTATGATATCTGGAGACAGACCTGAGATGGAGGGGACTCTAGAAAAGGTCTATAATTATGTTCACATTTATTGTGTATTGTCTAGAAATCCAGGAGCCAATGTGGAGAACTCAAAATGAACTCAAACATTTCGCATCAAATGCTTTCCAGTCCAAGTAATTTGAGATATGTTATACACAATTATAAAGACCAAAACTGTCTTTTATAAAGGACATCTTCATGTCTTCATATTCTTATTTCTACTTAGGAGAACATCTGAGATCTCCATAAAGTTTCCTGAGCTATAACGGAGCAACATCTGAGCAATAACGTATAATAATAATAATCATCCTAGTCCTAAAGAACCGAAATATGACTGTTCAGAAAATAAAATTGTTTTAAAACTCACTCAAAATCTGTCCTCTCCCTTTTTCCTCGGTCTTTAAGGGTAAAGTGCCACTTGTCATATTTAAAAGCATCCTCTAAGTGGCATCCTCTTGCAAATAATCTGACATGTTATTCACATTTAGATCTAAACTGTGTTTTTCTGCTTTTTCAGGTATTTTTTCTGCTAAGGAATCTTGAGAGGACATCTAAGAACTCCACAAAGATTCCTGAGCTATAAAATAGCAATGCTTGAGCAATATTTTTTTACATTTGTTTTTACACGGTCCTATGATATCTGGAGACAGACCTGAGATGGAGGGGACTCTAGAAAAGGTCTATAATTATGTTCACATTTATTGTGTATTGTCTAGAAATCCAGGAGCCAATGTGGAGAACTCAAAATGAACTCAAACATTTCGCATCAAATGCTTTCCAGTCCAAGTAATTTGAGATATGTTATACACAATTATAAAGACCAAAACTGTCTTTTATAAAGGACATCTTCATGTCTTCATATTCTTATTTCTACTTAGGAGAACATCTGAGATCTCCATAAAGTTTCCTGAGCTATAACGGAGCAACATCTGAGCAATAACATATAATAATAATAATCATCCTAGTCCTAAAGAACCGAAATATGACTGTTCAGAAAATAAAATTGTTTTAAAACTCACTCAAAATCTGTCCTCTCCCTTTTTCCTCGGTCTTTAAGGGTAAAGTGCCACTTGTCATATTTAAAAGCATCCTCTAAGTGGCATCCTCCAAGGTTTCTCCTCTGAGTCTCAGATATGTCCAGTAGTGTCCCAGTGCATCTTCAGTTTACACAGATCTGCCCATTTACAGTTCCTGGGTGCCTAAAATCCTTATTCAATCCAGTGAAGACCAATGAAGACCAGTCTTATTCAATCAGGCGAGTATTGTTTATTACAGTTTTTCTCAGTCGCTTTGGTGCATTTCTCACATCACTATTTACATTTGCACAACAGTTAGTTCAACCTCCACAACATTTAGTCATTTGTGCACATCATAGTAGCAGTTTCTCATTCCTTCGAACAAATTGCAAATGCTTTTTTAGACACTCTTTACAGGGACATAATCCCTGAGAATGAGAGGGGTCTAACTGGAGACCATCTGAGCAAGCATGTTGTTGTTTTGGATAATGTGCGTTTTCACCACTCAGATGTCATCAGACCGTGGTTTGCAGCACATGATAGGATGCTGGTGGCATATCTCCCACCCTACTCACCATTCCTAAATCCAATCGAGGAGTTTTTC